ACACACACACACACACACACACACACACACACACACACAGACACACACAGACACACAGACACACACACATGTAAAGATGCACATGTATTTATATCAATCGATGCACCCCCGCCTCCATACACATCTCTCCTCGAAGCATGGCACGGGGACACGTATGTACATTGCCCACGAACCCAGGCTCAAAGGTGGAAATCCTCCAGCCGAATCATGGTCTCTTGTGGGGGATGATGCGGGCGGCCGGGGCGACCGGCCGGAAGCGCGGCCCCTGCCGAGGCCATGGCCGCCACTTGGTCGGCCGACTGCTGCGAGTAGGACGCGGGGGTCCGGTGGAACACCGATGTCGAGGAGGCACTCTCCCCATGGGTGCTGGCTGTCCCGGACAGGGTGGCTGTCTGGCTGTTGGCCTGCTCGGTGGTGGCGATGCCAGACCGAAGCAGGAGCTCCACATACGGTGGCCAGTGGCCGGCGGTGCTGATGAACGGATCCTCAGGATGGAGAATGGTCCGGTTCATGAGATCCTTCAAGTGGGGGGGGGGGGGGGCAGGGGCGAGGCACGACGTCAGTCCTGAGGCCTATAGGGCCGCGCCAGGAGGAAGTGAACAAAGGGGAGAGGGGCAGGGCCGCGGAGCCTGGCCATGGGTGCTGGATGTGCGTGCGTGCGTGCGTGTGCATGTCCAATGTACCTCCAGGAGGATACTCAAGGAAGGGACGGCCTCAAGAGAGGCATCCCGAGCAGTGGGGATCCCGGCCACGGTGGAATTGGCCAATGTCTCGGCCGTTGGTGGGGGATAATATGACCGGATGAAACGAGTCAAGTGCCCCAGCAGTTCGCGATTTTCCGCGTCCAGGCGCCGCAGGGTCCCAGCTTCGGACTCGGTGCCGGCTCCGGGCTCGGTGTCGTGCTCGGCCGATTCGGGCCCGTGTGCTGATGCCTCAATGCGCTCACTGACAGGGTGCGGCAGGATACACGCGAAGTGCGGGTGGTTGGGTGGGTGGGTCGCCGGTTACGTTGGAGGAGGAAAAGAGGGACAGGGAGGAGGAGAAAGAGAAGAAGGGAAAGGCGCCAAAGGCACCGGGCGAGGGCCATGCAAAGGAGAAGATGCAAAGGTTAGCACATGGGATACACGCCATGCTGTCGGTCATACAAGTCGCACCTCTCCTGCCGGAGAGCCTCGATATGGCTGTCAATACTGGCATGGAGATCAATCAGGGACTCCTTCTCCTTGCGGTACCTGGTGCAAGAATGTGTCAGTAAAAGTCAGGGTGATGCGAGATGCGAGATGCGAGATGCGAGATGCGAGATGCGAGATGTGAGAGAGAGAGCCACAAAAAGGATGACGAACACTTGAAGATCAGCCCAGTGGCCACGAAGTTGAATGCGCAAGTGCTGCAGCGTGATGGCGGAAGTGCGTGCCCGGACACGCGATCGCGCCAGCGATCGCGCTTGCTGTAGCCGCGGGAGTCGCTCATTTTGGGACAGCTCTGAGATGTTTCGACACATTGAAGCAGACGGAGTGGGCAATCGTCCGGAAGCCGGAGGAGATCAAAAGCACCGACAGGGGGAGGGATTCGTGATGTGTGGACGCCCGCGCGCAAGAAAGAAAAACGGACACCACGGTTAGGGGGCAAGTGAAGAGGCGGCGACAGGCTCGGGCAGGCGGCCCCGCGCACCGATGTCCACATCGTCCGCGCCTCTGGCCGGCTGATCGGTGGTCCCGACTGGAGGCAGGCGCGCCAGAGAGGCTGTCTCTGCCTCCAGCCGGTGGTAGGTCGATCGGAGGATGCGTATGGTGGCCGCTCGCTCGATGCGCTCGATGCTGTCACGCTCGACAGCAAGACGCCCAATCGGAGTGTCGGCCAGGGCCTGCAGCTCGCGGTTTATCCCGAGGGTCAGATCAATCGAGCTGGGCGGGAAGTCATTGACCAGCTTCCAGATGGAAAGGGCACATCGGCGGCCGCGGAGTCGGGGGGAGGGGCATAGGTCAGAAAGGCGAGTGCTAGACACGCGCAGGACACGAGGCACGTGGCCGGTGTGGGGGGGAGGGGGGGGGGGGGGGGGGGATGAACAGAGAGCTGGGCGAGGCAAATATAAGAAGCGCACCCCGGCCTGTATGGCCCGTGCATGGTTCACCCACGCGGCCCCCTGCTCGTAGGCAGCCCCGAGGCTGTCGATGTCCTCGGCAAGGAGGGCATTCTCATTGTGGGAGCCAGTCAGGGAGAACCCAGCCGAGAGACTTTCCTCCAATGGCAGGAAGCCGGCCGAAAGCTCGGCTGCCTGCCGGGCCGATGGCGGTAGGAAGTGGTATGGTGGCAGAAATTGCCTCCAGGATGCCGCCGCCTGCTCATCCTTCTGATCGTTCACATCGAACAGAGAGACCATATCCGATGACGCATCACCCTTGAAGGGGGCAATTCCCTGCTTTCGAAGGAGAAACGTTGCCTGAGACAAGTCCCGTGTAGACAACCAAAGACCGGGCGACCGAGTGGGGGATAAAAAGAGAGAGAGAGAGAGAGGGAGAGAGAGAGAGAGAGAGAGAGAGAGAGAGAGAGAGAGAGAGGGAGGGAGAGGGATATTGTCAGCGGGTGTCTAAGGACAACTGATCGCACACGATCTCTGAACACAGACAGCGCCGTGGACGCCAACGCACACGCTCGGACAGAGCGGCTGCCCGCGAATTCAATGACGAGGCAGCCAGCATGCCCTCGCGAAGATCCGCCCCTGGTCGGGCGAAGCCAGTCAGGAAATGTGAAATCACAGACATGGCAGGTAGCTGGGGGCGGGGAGAGGAAAGGAAGGTGGATGGCGAATTCGTGGCAAGGAAAAGAATCAAGGGAGAGAGGGCGAGAGAGGGGAAGGGGAAGAGAGAGAGAGAGAGAGAGAGAGAGAGAGAGAGAGAGGGAGGGAGGGAGGGAGAAAGTGAAAGTCCAGGTGAGGGCCCCGGCGTTGGGTCGGGCTCAGATCCCACCGAGCCGGCGAATCATGGCCGCTGTAAAACCGCCCCTCCCGCAGAGGTCCTGCTTTCTGCCAGTGTTCTGCAATCAGGCGAGGCCACTTTGGGACGAAGGCGCGATCGTGCCAGATCGAGGGGGAGCAACTGACAACGGAAAGCCACGATTGCGGGGGGACCGATCCGCCAGGGCGTCCTCCTCCGGCGTGCGGGCGTAACCACTCGCCCCGCGGCCAGGCCCTGTTGCTCGGTCCTGTTCCCGGGCCTGCCTTCCCCGCGAGAGGCGAAATCTGACCCAAAAGACGGGCTCGTTCACGCACCTCGATATCAACGGATCCGACACCCACCC